GAGCCCTGCAGTGGGGGGGTGGCTTGCAGGGGGGCAAGAGGAGATGGAGACTTGCCCCTGTAGTGGGGCCTTGGCTCCTATAGAGGCGAAGCCTCGGGTGGAAAAGGCAGAGCTGGGGGGGTACCTGCCCCCACCCTAGGTTCACCCACCACCCATGGTGCCATGCACTGATAAACCACTGCCCTGTTCTGCTGCAGAACTGGCGGCACTGCAGTGGTGGGACATTCCCTGTGCCCAGTCCGTTTCAGTACTATTCAGGGAGGGAGGCTTGGCACCCATGTAAAGTCACCGGCGTTATTGTTCTGGGCCGCAGGCACCTTTGCTGTCATCAGCATTATCGTGGGGAACGTCTGCCATGAACTGGCTCCTGAATCCGATTTCGAGTACCTCAACCACACCACCAACGAGACCAGCGTCAACACCACAGCCATGGAGGAAGCCCGCCTGGAGATCTCCGCCACATTAGCGTGTCTGACAGCCATCATACAAGTATGCCCAGCAGTGCGGCTCTCAGGCTGCTGTGGACGCTACCTGTCCCTTGGGGGGAATTGGATATTAACTGGTTAGCCAGGGCAGCCGCAGTAGGATTGTGTCATATGTACCCCCTCGCGCAAAGGAATGACACACAGTGCCAGCAGCAAATAGGCCAGGGGTGGGTGAAATACAGATCCAGTCCCTCAAGCCTTTTAATCCAGCCCATGGCCTGCCCCTGCAGCACAGAGCAGTTCCATGTCACTCAAAACAGCTGGCTGCTCCCTTTCTTCCCACAGCGTGAAGTCAACCTGTGGAACTCCTTGCCATAGGAGGCTGTGAAGGCTAGGACTATAACAGAGTTTAAAGAGAAGCTAGATAATTTCCTGGAGGTTAGGTCCATAAAAGGCTATTAGCCAGGGGATAGAATTGGTGTCCCTGGCCTCTGTTTGTCAGAGGCTGGAGAAGGTTGGCAGGAGACAAATCACTTGATCATTGTCTTCGGTCCACCCTCTCTGGGGCACCTGGTGCTGGCCACTGTCGGCAGACAGGATGCTGGGCTAGATGGACCTTTGGTCTGACCCTGTACGGCCGTTCTTATGTTCTCTCTGCACCACACGCAGCAGGGGGAGGTTTCACTCACTGCCCTGGCTCCCAGCATAATGTCTCAGCTCCTATTGGCCAGAAAGCGGTCAATGGGAGGTGAAAGATTGCGATGGGGGTAGGGACAGTGCAAACCCTGCGTTCCCTCTGACACTTCTCCCCCAGGCCAGAACATTCTCCTGCACCCATCCCCCCTTCCGGACCCTGCACCCCCATTCTCTGCCCCCTCCTTCACCCAAACTCCTTCTCAGATCCCACGCCCTCTCCCGCACCCCAGTCCCCTACTCCAAGCTCCCTTTGGCACCCATCCCAGACCCCACATCCCTTCCATAGAAAAGTGCGGCCCTTGACCACTTTCCAATATCTTGGAGTGGCCTTCCCCATCAAAAATTATTGCCCATCCCTGACATAGGCGATACCTAGAAACAAAGGGTTTGAAAGGGTCCTACGGTCCTGGCTCCCACTTCAGAAACACTGGACCTCAGATACTATAGCGAATCCTAAACTACAATAGGAATCTGGTAGCTGGACCCAACCTATATAAATGTTTCTGAACAAGAAGGAGACTAGCCGAGGTCTCCGTTCTTCTTCCATGGTCAGCAGCTCCTAGCAATTGCAGTGTGTTTTCACTCCAAAGCTGCTGTGCATGGGGAGGTAGAAAATTATGCATGTGGCAATGCTCGGAGGAGGCATGGTATGAGCTAGTGGATTAGTCAGTGGCCCTGAAAAGACAGAGTCTGAATTTCCACAGCCTGTGTTCAGAGAGAGCATCTGGCTTATGGTGCAGGTCCTGGAGGGTGGGTGTGGTCGCCAAGACGGTGCAAAGCTCTGATATGCAGAACTAGTCATTGGCTAGAGCACCCGCCAGTCAACATGAGCGACATCCCAGCTATGCTCCCACAGCCTCTGAATTGGCCCTTTGCCACCAGAGAATTCACACACCCCAGCGTGACTCTCCCTAGGTTAGTTACTTAGTGCCCAGTGCCAAGTCGCTGCCCAGCACTGCAGGGACCAGCCTGATGGGTGCAGCATCTCTCCATGCATGATCTCTGGCATGGGGCGTGGGCTGCTCCCAGTATGTGTTCACTGTGACGCGTGTGTCTGTCCATCCTCAGATCTGTCTGGGATTCGTGCAATTTGGCTTCGTGGCCATCTACCTCTCGGAATCCTTCATCCGGGGCTTCATGACTGCAGCCGGCCTCCAGATCCTCATCTCGGTGCTCAAATATGTCTTCGGCCTGGCCATTCCTGCCTACACGGGGCCCTTGGCCATCGTCTATGTGAGTGCGCTGGGGAAGGGCAGCCACGCCTCGGTCCAGGGGCCTGCACACTGCAGACACTGCGTCGACAAACCCATGGGAACGCTAATTAATTAACCCTACCCTGAAGAAGCAGAGGACGGAGTGCAAACACATGGCTGTCTGCTCCATTCCCAACGCTCTCAGCTTGTACCCAGCATGCCTTGTGCTGCTGCTGTAATTAATAAAGCTACAGTCAGATCAGGTTATTACCACAGATGGGCCTGGAGGGAGTTTTGGAAGGAATATTAGCTCTCCTATTCCAGGGCAAGAGCCAGCCTCTGTTCAGAGCCGGGGAAAATGGCCCTCGGTGCAGTTTATCCCATCATTGCAGCTTTTTGCAATATCCTCTGACGAGTCTGGTCCTGGACACTGGCAGAGATGGGGCATTGAATTTGATGGTCTCCTTGCCTGGTCTATCTGGCAGTTCCTGAGAGCCAAGGTTCAGTTCGCTGCAAGCGATGCTGTTGGACTGAACCTAGCCCTATATTTAAGTCTGGAATCACAGAGTCAGCAGAGAGTTGGGCATGTCAGAGTGTCTCTGGGAACAGAGCAGGAAAAGCCAAACCTGCGACCTGTTGGAACACCGCCATGATTGTTAGCATTCTGATGAGTGGATTTAAACATTTCCAGCATCCTTTGCAAGCCAGGTGCTGCAGTGCTGGGGTAGTGGATGAGAACTGAGGACTAGAAAAAAAAGAGACCCCCTACAGGACTGAGCCACGTTTTAACCTCCTCTGCCTGAGATAATTCATAAGTGACTCCATCACAGGCAACACAGTGCAGTGATGTAAGATAGGTCTGAGAGGGGCGTCAGGCCCTGGAGCGTCTCTGTTTGCTGTCCTAGCCAAGTGAAATAACACAAAAAAGATGGAATCGGCACTAATGAGGGAAAATAAATTTGAGTTTTTTCAAATGCTTTTGAGTTTCAGTAATCAAAGGTGTAATTAGGGGCATATGGGAGGGCAACAAATGTTATTGAATATATAGGGCCAGGTCCCCAGTGGCTTTGAACGGGATAGGTGCACTGATGTCCAGGGAGACGTGGTCCTTTACACCCGGCGAGGAACTAGGAGAGCCTTCAGCAGGGCTGATCCATCATCCTTTCCATTGATTACAGTGGGTCTGTGGCCCCCAGATGTTTGCCTGCTTAATGGAAGTTTAAGTTTAACTGGAATTGGGCTGGACATCACACACAAGCAGACTCTCCTGGGATTTCTGGTGCTTGTTTCATCTCCCAGTGACTGTTCCAGGGGAGCTGGAACAATTTTTAAGAGCAGGGGGAGGGGGCGGGAGCTGGGATATCCAGCCGGGTGGGAGCCATTGAACTAGATTAAAAACCATGTATCTGAGGAACCACTTCAAGCCAAGCAGGGGGAGGGGCTGGGAGCTGGGATATCCAGCCGGGTGGGAGCCATTGAACTAGATTAAAAACCATGTATCTGAGGAACCACTTCAAGCCAAAAGGTGTGGCAGCCCTCCTTCCCCAGCACCTGGGGCTCAGAGATGTCCAGAGTGGGTGGGGGTGGGGTTCTGCTTTGCCCCCTGGAATTCCAAGGAGCCCCTCTCCACATTTTGCTAACTGATCCCTCTTCTCTCCCCCCGCCAGACATTTATCGATATTTGCAAAAATCTCCCCAAGACCAACGTGGCCTCCTTGGTCTTCTCCCTGATCAGCGCGGTGCTGCTGATTATCGTGAAAGAGCTCAACATGAAGTACATGAAGAAGATCCGGGTACCCATCCCTATGGAGATTGTCATAGTAAGTAACACTCAAGCTCTGTCATCCTGTGTCCATTAAAGAAAAACAACCTTTCCTTAAGAGAGGCTTTTCCCTCATTTCCTCCCAGCCTTTGTGGGAAGGTGCATCTCCAGGACAGGCCAAGAAAGGGCCTAGATTGCAGGACATGCTTGCATTGGCACATGGCAAGGCATGACGCTAGACCCATTCTGCATGGGGCAGCAGCAGGAGGCACCTGGCAGCGTCATTCTAATTAGCTCAGTGTTTCTTAAACTGTGTTCCACGGCACTACCATGAGGCAGTCGGAGGTGTGCCGTGAAGAACAACAGAATTCAAAATGGCCACCTTGAAAGGGACAGGCAACCTTTTTTTCGCAATAACTTTCCCACCGATCTTTTTTTTTTTTTTTCCCCCTCAACAAAAAATCCTTGGTGTTCCTCATTAAAAAAAAATATTGTTTGGTGTTCCTCAGTCTTAAAAAGTTTAAGAAACACTGAATTAGAGTGTTGGGTTTCCATTCAGGTGGGAGTTGGACCCAGTGCCTGCTTCACGCGGTGGTTTACATCAGGACACAGTGGATGGAGAGCTCTATAGCTCTGAGCTGGTTGTGTTTTACACCCATCCTGCATTCACTTTGCCCGAGTTCCTAATCCAGGGCAATGGGAAATCAGGGCCTCCGCGTTCAACTTCAGTTTCAGAAATGCAGCCACTCCAACGCCTCAGGTAGAAGCAGCTGATCCCACTTGAATTTCGTGGCAGAACAAGGGTTGGGCCTGAGCCAAAACATTTGGCTCAGGGACTCCCAAATCCCAGGCGTGTGCGTGCGCTAGATTCAGTCATCCAGTTGTGTGGCTGACCTCACCGTGACAAACCAGACCTCTCCCCAGCCTGTCACAGAGCTGCAGCTGGCTAAGTTCAGAGGTAGGCCTGCTGACAGGTGGGGGGAAGGGAGCAGTTACTCTGAGGCCTGGTGATTCAAAAGAACCTCAGGCTCCAGCTGCTGCTGCTTCATCAGCAGCATTCAGAGCCCCAGGTCTTTTAAATTGCCGTCAGAGCCTGGGGCAGCGTACTCCAGGCTACACTGAAGGGCTGGCAGGTGCGGGGTATTAGGCTCAGCCCTGCCTCTTCTACCTAAGGCCTCGCCCCTTCCAGGAGCACTGAGCCACCCACCTTACCCAGGGGCCTAGCAATTCTGTCAGGCTTCCTCTGTAGAGGTTTTGCCAGATATATTTCTGCTGTGATCTCTCTCTAGGGCTTAGACCTCTCCTCGGAGCGTGTGTAGAATGGCCACAAGCTTGCATGGGGGATGAGTGTTACTGAGTTTTTAGGACAGGGCACTAGGAGTCAGGAACCTTGGGTTTATTTCTCACGCTGTCCCCAGCCTGCTACTACTTCTCAGCTCCGCCTCGGTTCTCCATCTGTAAAATGGGGATAACATGACGGATCAATCTTGTCTTGTGTGGCTCCAGTAATACCCTTCAAGGCCTGGGATATCCTGCCGTGGAAGGACACCCAAAGTATTTTACATCCTTGAGAAGAGGCAACCCCCCCAAGCCTTTGTTTTGTCCTTGTATACTGAACTGTGAGTCCACTCCTTGCATGTCTATGGGGTAAACTCATCCATGGCATAAATGACAGAACTCCCACTGAAGCAGATGGATGCTTCTCCCACTTGATCCAGGGCTGAACGTGGCTTTAAGGGTCTCATGCTCAGCTGTAGTAGGCATTAGCCACTTCCCACGCAGCGAGGTAAGTACAATGCTGCTGAAGGATCTCACAGTGCAGCGTCCACTTACAGCTTCTTTACTCTCTGTGATTGCAGGTCATAGTAGCCACTGCGATCTCTGGAGGCTTGAACATGCCGGAGAAATACAACATGCCAATTGTTGGGAAGATTAAGATGGGGTAAGTCCAGGTGCAGGGCTGATTCCATTTCCAAGCGCTGATTCACTCTGGACCAGTGATGGTCCCCTATCAGCTCCTGCTTCCATCTATCCCACCACTGCCACCAGTGTAGCTGAGGTGTGGGGAGCCACCGGGCTCTGTATCCCCATCCACAGCCAGATGTGACTCTCAGCCAACAGGTACAACAGAAGGTTTATTAATTGACAGGGACACAGTGTAGAGTAGACTTGTCAGCACAGAAACCAGACGCAGTCAGTAAAACCTATCTTGAGGAGAGGGAGCTCAGAGGGCCAAAGGCCCTGCCCTCCATCTCTGCACCCCGACCAGCAAGACTAACTCCCACACTGCAAAGCCCCCCTCTCCCTTCCAGCCCTGCAGCTAGCCCTGCCTCTGGTCTTTGTCTAGGTTGAACTTCTCTAGTCCAGCACCCTTGGGATCTGACCAATGCCTAACCTGAGGATTTGCCAGACCACGGGAGGTCAACATTGTCTAGAAGCATTACCCACCCCTCCACTGCGTGCTGGGCTCTGAGAAGACATGTAGGGGTCAATTAGAGCTAAATCACCGCACAGAACACTGAGAGCCAGGACTGGGGGCTGTAAACAAACTTTATGGGACTGCGGGGAAACTTTGCCGCACCGCTGATGAGTGAACACCCAGCTAATTAAAATCATGCCGGACCACAGATGTTGCCAGACCAGAGAGTGCCGGACTAGAGAGGTTCCACCTGTACAAGTTCCATGTATTCAAGCCTGCCATTGGGGAAGGAGGAGGGGCAACTTCCCCAGGACCTGGCGATTCAAAAGGTCCTGAGGCTCTCAGCTGCCACTACCACTAGTGCAGCAGAAGCGATGGCGGCTGGAGCCCTGGGCCTTTTAAATCATCACCGGAACTCCACGCAGCAAGCTCCAGGTTGGTGCTGAAGGGCTGGTGGGGCAGGGGGGAGGCTAGCCCCAGCCCTTGTAGAAGTGCAATGCCACCCCCCACACACCTGGCACAGGGGCCTGGAAAGTCTGTCTCCCCCTCTATCACTTGTATTAACACGTAATAATAACTAGAGCAGGGAGCAACTGTCTTTTGTGATTGGGCTCCCAAGAAGGTGCTAATTTGCCTGACTATTTATAAATCATCTCACAATATCCTAGGATAAGGACTAACCCCAGGCTGCAGCAATCGCCCGGCAGGGCTACCAGCGGGAGGGGTGTGGTATAAGAACCAAAATAGAACAGAATCTAGGGCAGGCTGCAGTGGAAAATGTCTCCTAAGCCTTCTCTCTCTACCTGAGTCAATACATTAGTGGATTATAAAGGGCAGCGTGTAATTACCAAGCTGTAATTGGGTACAGCATTCAATACTGTCCAGCGCAATCCTATAATTACGAGGGACACACAGAACCAAAATAATAAACACAGCGAGAGCTGGGATCGTGTAGGATGTTATTCAGCACGGGCAAAGCACCTTGAGTTCTGAACCCTGGGGATCACTTTGGCACTAGGATTCTGTGGAGAGGTGTGTGACACTCAAGAGTGCAATTTCCAAACGTGCTGTTGGCCTGAATCAGAAAAAAACATTTCCCAGAAAGCAAAATACTCCCTCTCCAGTCCACTGGAAGATTTACTGGGATTCAGTGGGCAGGCTGCCCCGGGGAGAGAGGACAACTCCAGCTCTTTCTCGTCGCAGCAGTTTGGGGCCAAGTGAGAAGCGCCTCTCTATGGCCACTGTATCTCCAGTGGGCACAGCTGGGGGAGAGGTGCATGTCCCTCCAGCCGAGACAGGTCCAAGTTCGCCTGCCCCCAGCACTGCCCAGTCAGAGTGAGGGATGCAGCAAACTGCACACTTTCCCCTGAGGAAGGGGAACAGCCAGCAATGTTCCCATACAAATGGGGGGGCTTCAGTCCCTCTCTGAAGGACACCTGGGGGGTCAGAGGCTGAGGGCTGGAGCTGTCCCATATGGGAGGGGCACATCCCCAGCCACCCCCTTTCACCTGCCTGGTGATCCTGTCTCTTCTCTGTATGGTTTTATGAGAAGCAATCCCATTCCAGGCAGTTCCCGTTTTCCTGGCCCAACCAAGCCCTGACCTTGCTTTAATGTATGATAAGAGGAAGCTGTATGCTGAATTTGGTGGTCCTAGCTCTTACCACTTACAAGGAGTTATTGAACAGACAGACACAGACGTGCAGCCAGCCAGATGCACAGAAAGACAAACTGTCTCAAATATGTAGTAGATTTAGGTTCCATCCAAATGTTGTTTCAGTTTTGACTTTTATATTATGTTATATTATGGTAGAGAGACTGGGTGGGTGAGGCACCATCTTTTTTTGGGTCAACTTCTGTGGTTGAGAGACACAAGTTTTCGAGTCACACATAGCTCTTCTTTTTTCCTTCAATCCTGAAGAAGGGCTTGGTGTAACCTCAGAAGCTAACCAAAAGAAGTTGGCCCCAGAAATAATATCACCTCATCCACCTGGTCTCTCTAATACCCTGGGGTCAACACAGCTACAACAGCATTGTCTATTATCTTATCATTTGTGTTACACTATAGCATGGACAATAAAAGTCAAAATGAAACTGGGGTTTCAAAATATGAAAGTAAAAAACATTGTTTCAGCCCTATTGAAATGAATCGTTTCGATCTTTTTCAAAATGACATTTCATCGGCATTGTCTTATGCCTGTGGAACAGTTTGATTTTCTGACTATTCCGTGGGAAAATGTTTGACCAGCTCTAAATCTTTGTTGTTGGTGATGCAGTTGCTGGCGCTCTTCTCTCTGTTAGTTGTGAGCCAATGACTCTGAGGATACATCTACACAGCAGGGCTAAAGCCGAAATAAACTATGGAACTTGAGCTACGTCCATTGCATGGCTTAAGTCGAAAGAGCTTATTTCGTCTTTTGGCACTGTCTCCACAGCAAGAAGTCTGAGGTAGAGCACACTTCCTCCAACTTCCCTTACTCCTTGCGAAATGAGGGTTACAGGAGTTGGAGTAAGAAATCCTCCAGCTCGACATTATTTTGACATTATGTCAAAATAATGGCTTGCTGTGTAGATGCAGACTGTTATTTTGGAATAACATCAGCTACTCTGAAATAACACTGCTGTGTAGACATACCCTGCCTGGCTCTAGTGGGGGCTGTGTTGCTCAGAAGTGGGTGTCTCTCAGATTAAAGATAGAACAGACAATGTGATTACTTAGGGTCATTTAAAATCCTTTGGCACTTTCTGCAAAAGTCCCAGCCTCCAGGCTAAATCCCCCTTGGCATCCGCAGAGCTAAATTTCCTCTGCAGTTTCATTTAGATAGGTTATTTGTCACTTCTCTTCCTAAACAGCTATGCATTTCTTCTGTGCACTGCTAAACGGCTGCTGTGTTCCTCCCAGAGATGACTGCATTAGAGTAGTGGGTGAAATGAATCCAGTGTATATAAAGCCAAATCCTGGTCTACAGGCTCCATCTCTAAACACCTGTGTCCTGTCTGCTTTCTCCTCTATTCTTTGGCTGCAGCTTTCCAGATCCCACCCTCCCCCTGGTGAGTAAGTGGAAAGATATGATTGGCACTGCTTTCTCCCTTGCCATTGTGGGCTACGTGATCAACCTAGCCATGGGACGGACGCTGGGAACCAAACACGGCTATGATGTGGACCCCAACCAGGTAACGTTTATTTAAAAGAAGATAGTCAAGATGCAGTTGGGTTGGGTATAATGAATGTGAAAGCAGGTGCTGATGGAGTAAGCTGGAGCTTCTTAAAATGCATTCTCCTTCTTGGAAATGTGTGTCTTTCTCTCCTGTGCTCCGACTCATATAATGATTTTTGTTGTAAGCTCATGAGGCCATGGCTAAGTGTGCTGGTTGGTAGTTGTTTTGCTTTCTCTCCATGACATTCCCACCTCTCTCTCGCTTTCCATCCCACTGACTGCAACAAAAGGGTCTCCTTCCCCGGGTACTTTAATATCACTGCTCCCTGCCTGCTCTGCCCATGACCCATGAAAGGAAACAGTTGCACGTGCTAGAGAAGGCACACCCCTGATGAGCACAGGGCACTCTGTTCTGGCCATGTGTTCTGGCAGCATATGAAGGAAGGGAACATTCTGCCTGCCTGACTCATGCACAAGGCAGCTTGTGAAGCTTTAGGGCATTGGGATTCCAAACATTTTTTATTCCTCATTTTCCCTCCTTTTGAAAATGCCTCTGTGAAAATAAGGATCTCTGGAACGTGGGTCCAACTATCCGCCTCAGTGGAGGACTGAATCAGCAAGAAGTGGTGAAACAGCTGGGAAAAAGGACAAATTGTCCTAGTGGAATAGGGTTTGATCTGGAAAAGAGGACCAGCAACCAATGTTCCCTGTAAGCTGAGTGCTTGGGCGGCCACCCAGGAAAGATTTGGGTGCCACCCAGCTGTTTAGCAGAGCACCCACAGACTGCAACATGTGTTTCACCCAATGGTGCACATCTGCACGTGCCTCAGTGCACATAACAAAATGTATTCCACACATGGATGGAAAAGAAATAGAGGGAACATGGCCAGCAACCTCAGTCTGTGGCCCAATAAAAGAAAATTTCTTTATGGTACTGTCTCAACGGTATTTCAACCCCATCAGGCTAAAAATTACAAATCAATTGAATAAGGATAAATGATGGAGAAACTGTGGCAAAAGAGGAGATTTTATGCACATACAGTGCACATGACCAGCCACGAGGGAGGGATAGCTTAGTGGTTTGAGCATTGGCCTGCTAAATCCAAGGTTATGAGCTCAATCTTTGAGGGGGCTATTTAGGCATCTGGGGCAAATCTGTCAGGGATGATAGTCCCTCCTGCCATGAGGGCAGCGGACTGCCCTTGATGACCTCTCAAGGTCCCTTCCAGCTCTATGAGATATCTCCATATATATAAAAAGTACTGGGATGAAAGCTGTAGCCAAATGTTGCGGTTGGCTCTCTGTTACCAAATGAACCTTTGGTAATTGTCCTGGAGTTCCCTGGCAGAAATGGTCAAACAAGAAGAAACAAATGATAAGTCTCCCATTTGGTGTTGTAGCCTCCTTTGGAAAAAGAAAAATAGCCCAACCATAAAGGGGTGCTTCAAAAACGATGGGTGGGTGTAGTTATGGAAACACACCAGTTACACCCCTGGGAAATGGAGGACAGATAGATACTTCGCTATTTGGCTACCTTTTTTCAATAGTCAGACAAAGTACATCTATCTATAAAAAAGCTCTAGCACCCATCCAGTTTTTGAGAGTACTAATAAGATTGCTTATAAACAATCTATTATAGTAGGCAATGATGCTCACTCTTTAATATGTGAAACGGAAAGATCTGGTGCGTATATTCCTGTGTAATGTCTCTTTAAACAAAAGCTAATGGCTGTGTGCGTTGTTTTGTTTCTGAGATTTGCAGAGCAAGGATCTGCAAAACTGTTAAAACTTCCTGAAGGCATAGCTTTTAAAGAAACATCCAGCTGGTCTCATATTCCCAGGACCCAGCTGGAGTTGATGTGTCATCATGGGAATAACTCAGGGAATCCAGGGATGCTTCTGGGATGAGCAGGAAAATTCCTCTGGGTGAGGATGATTGGTGGGGAGAAGGGGCAGGAATGACAAATCTGTGCAGGGTGGAGGCTTTGCAGAGTCAGTGCCGCTCACTCAAGCAGGGCAGGGGAATCCCAGTGACCTATTTCTCTGACCTCGCTTTAATTGCTAGTGGAGGAAATGGAGAGCTGGCCTGGCACAAGACTGCTGTTTCCTTCCTCCTCTGACACACGCCTTCCTCCTCTCCCCGCAGGAAATGCTTGCCCTGGGTTGCAGTAACTTCTTCGGATCCTTTTTCAAAATCCACGTGATTTGCTGTGCTCTGTCCGTCACCCTAGCTGTGGACGGGGCTGGAGGAAAATCTCAGGTGATTACTTTCTTTTCCTGGCACCAATTTTCACAACTATGACCATCCCTCCGAGATTGGCATATAGACGGCCACAAAGGGGACTGTACCCAGTGGATCCATTCTCTGCTAAAATTCAGAGCCAGAGATTCAGACTCTACTGCTGCCAATCCAAAGTAACTCCGCTGATTTTAGTGAAGTCACTCCAGATTGACATCGTTGTCCCAGAGCGCAGAAGTTGAACCTGACTGCTATTTGCCTGAGGGGCTAGCTACTCCACATGACACATGATGATCTTAGAGCTGTTACTCCCTAGATTTCCAGCTGGAATCCAGACTGGGTCTCTAACTGACTGGAAGTTGGTACCATCTGATGGATGTCTCCAGCGGCCTCTGTATGGGATGAGTTTGGTAGATCCTAACACATCTTCCAGTGAGCAAGGGTCTACAGCACCAAAACCACCCTCCTGATTATCTGTTCTGCTGACAGACTCAAGAGAGGGCCAAGGATTAAGGCACCATGAGACTGACCTTCCACCTCTCTCATAGCGGGGGTTCCTCCTGGTTGGGGTTGGGGAACATTTTTGCTGGCACTTTTGCTGTCCATCCTATGGAGCGAACACCTGATGATCTGGAAGATTGTTCGGTGTAGCCAGCTCCCTTGGACTGCAAGCGGATCAGGCAGAAGGAAAGCGCTTGTTCTCCAGCGCTGCTGATCCAGATTTCACTAATACTTAATGCATTCCATTTGAAAGCAATTCTTCTCCCTGCCAGCAGGCTCTGCTGTGTCTCACACTAGCCTTTCCACTGTGTCTCCCCACCAAAATTCCCTGATCCTTCAGATCTCCAGGTGGGCACCGGTCATGCGACGCCAGACCCGTCTTCACTAACTAAGGCTTTTAGATAGTGTCTACACTACAGGCTTTTAGCACAAGAAGCTTTTTGCGGAAGAGATCTTCCGCAAAACCTTCTTGCGCAAAAGCGCGTCCACACCTCAAAAGCACATCGCAAAAGCAATGCGCTTTTGCGCAAGACAGCGTCCACACTGCATGGACGCTCTTGTGCAAGAAAGCACTGATGGCCATTCACAGAATGGCCATCAGAGCACCTGTGCTTTTTCTGATAGGCTTTTTCTGCACAAGAAACCCCTGTGGAGCATCCACACCTGCCTTTTTGCGCAAGAGCTGTAGCACAAAAAGGAGTTATTCCTCCTATTGAGCTGTAGAACAAGAAGGAGAGGAATAAGTCTACCGCCAAAAGCCCTCTGTTCTGTTGATTTACTGTATTTTTTCTTGCACAAAAATGCACTTCAGATGTGGACGCTCCGCCGGTTTTTGCGCAAAAACCTTGTAGTGCAGACACAGCCTAGCTGTTTTCTTTGCATCTGGCACCAAAAGCAGTGACTTTGGATGGGTGCGTGTCACAGGAACAAGTCTTGGGCCGAAGCACAGAGCTCTCATGACCTATGGGGCAGAGCAATTAGGTGTCACACCCCTACTCCTCACTGCAAATCAGTCAGACAGAACTCCAGCACTCTGACCCCCGGCCCGCTGTTCCGGCCATTAGATCCATAGTTGCCCCACCTTACTGGTCTTTGGTTTAAGGAAAAACAAAAGGTTTATAAAGTCAGGGAACCTCCTTAAGCATTCGTTTTGTCTCCTCAGATGGCAAGTTTCTTTGTGGCGCTGGTGGTTATGATAACCATGCTGGCTTTGGGAGTCTACCTCGACCCCCTTCCAAAGGTAAAACCCTGTGCAACCACCAGGGTCACGGAGGGTGCGGGGGCACAAGTAGGGACACTGTGGGGTATAGCTAACTCTTCTGTGTCCTGTTCCCTTTCCCGTGTCTACTATGTCCAGCCAAACCAGGTCAGCCTTCCTTGCTGTTGGTAAATCAAAGAGTTGTCAGATGAAGCTGCATGGAGCTCTAATAAGCAACACTCACCCTCCTCCATGCCATGAAACTCACCAGATCTGGGGTTTTCTCAAAACCAGGAGCACAGAATGAATCTGGCCCAAGAGTCAAGAGAATCTGAGCTCATTCCTGGTCCCAGCACAAAAACCCATGAAATGTGGCAGGCTTGGCGCAAACATGGAGTTCAGAACTTGGCTGTATTACAACTTGAAACCCAGAGAGAGCAAAGAGAGGGGGTTGTGCCAGGACTTTCGAGGGTAGAGACTCAGCATCTCTAGCCAGGGCAGATCATCACCCCGGCGCCGCTGGGCTTGCTGCATCAGTGTAAAACAATTGCTTGAGCCCCGACACCTCTTTCATTACAAATCAATCGCGGAGCTCAGGGAAGTATTAGACCAGGCTGCCTTTTTCTTCCCATCATTTTTACTTTAGTTGCCTACTTCCTGGTGGGAAGCACCCTATGAATAAATTAGTTATTCTTGTAATTAAGTGATTGTTTATTAACTAAATATAGGCTGTGAAATTTGGTCCCAAGGTCCCCAAATATCTGGTGGGGGTGGAGATTCAGGGGGTTGGGTTGGTCCATTCTATTTAGAAGCCAAACTTCTCCACCATTGAGTATGTTCAGAACCAGGCCTATCTCTATTAATAATGACACTTACTTGGTGTTGATTATTTATACTGTAATTATTCGTACAACAGCAGCACTTACCAGCCCTAATCATGAACTGGGATTCCCCTGTGCTAAGTGCTGTACAAACACAGAACAAAAAGTTGATCTGTGCATGGGCGGTGGGTGAAGGCAGAGCTGGGGGAAGCAAGCTTCGCCAGCCCAGCCCCCAACCCTGCCCCCCAGCACTACAGAGATGTGGGGACGGTGCATTGCCCCAGACCCCCCCGCCGGCCACTTACCAGCCCTAATCATGAACTGGGATTCCCCTGTGCTAAGTGCTGTACAAACACAGAACAAAAAGTTGATCTGTGCATGGGCGGTGGGTGAAGGCAGAGCTGGGGGAAGCAAGCTTCGCCAGCCCAGCCCCCAACCCTGCCCCCCAGCACTACAGAGATGTGGGGACGGTGCATTGCCCCAGACCCCCCCGCCGGCCCGGCCCCCCCCCCCCCGCCTGCTCCCTCCCCCTGCATTACGGGGAAGGAAGTAGTGTGCCCGGCCCCAGCCTTCCCCACCCCAGAGTACTGGGGAAGGCAGGCGCTGGGGACAGCAATGCTCCGCCCCCAGGACGCCTACAGCAGGCATTCTAGGGGTGGAATGTGGTTGGGACCATGCTTGGCAGTTTGGGAAGGCAATGCCTTCCCCTGCCTAGCATATCAGCCACCCCTTGATCCGTGTCCTCTGCATAAAGCACACATAAACTAAGCCAATTCCACCGCATGGATTCCTAGTGCGAAGGAGCCATGTCCACACTGATTCTCTGGCTGGCAAAGGGGATAAAACACATTATTTTGGATCCAGATTCAAGCATGATCTTTGTGAGCTTCTCCAGTTGCTCATCCCTCATCCTTGCCCCCCTTGGCAGCCAGGCCTGGGAGCAGGCCATATTTGCAACTGTCCCTTGCGCAATAAGACTTTCACATTTCCTGTCTTGGGAGTCTAATGTGATACCCTCTCCTTGGTAGTCTGTACTGGGAGCCCTGATCGCAGTGAACCTGAAAAATTCCCTCAAGCAGCTGGCTGATCCCTTCTACCTGTGGAAGAAAAGCAAGCTGGACTGTGTGAGTATCCCGCCACAAGAGTCCCTGGGGAGAGAAGGCAAACTCTGATTACATTTTTCAATAAGGGTAAATCTCACTCCTACATAGTGGGGCAGCTCAAGACATAGGCACCACTTCAGCCCTGAAAACAGGGCTTAAATAGGACATAAGCAGCGCACTGGCCCCATACAGAAGGGTAAGTTTCACCCTATAAGCACAATAATGCCTCCAACTCAGTGTTTAGCTTGATGATCACAAGCAAGGTGCATTGTAGAATTATTTGAGCACTGTCACACTTCATGCATGTAATGCAGAGAACTGAACTATATTCTACTGTATTTAATTGCCAATCAACTTTAAGAGCCTGTTTGTCAAGAACAAGTCAAACCGGCCCTACTCAATATCTCCAAGTCTTGACTTAAAAACTCAGTCAATCGCCCTCCAGGGCAAGGAGAGGACATCATTAAAGATAAGGACTCCAGGCACTGGCTGTCAAATAAACCCAATTGGAGACAGAAGGGAATTTGGAAATGTCTGACATTTAAAGACTTTGTTTGACTTATGTCGGTGGGTGGTATCTATGCAAACTGGGCCAAAATAGCCTACCAAATCCCAAGGAAGCTGCTTTATCTGAGAAAATGGAAAGGAATAGAAAAGGACAGATTGAGTCATTGACAGCTAACCTAAAATACTATTCAAACAGGTATGGAAGAGGAGAGGGGTTAGGATTCCAGGCAGGGTCTCTTAGGGTATGTCTACACTAGCTTGTTAGTTCGAGCTAGGTAGGCAAATGAGGGCAACCGGAGTTGCAAATGAAGCCCGGGATATAAATATCCTGGGCTTCATTTGCATGTTCCCAGGCGCCGCCATTTTTAAATCCCCCTTAGTCCGAACTCCATGCCCGCGGCTACACGTGGCACGGAGTAGGTAGTTCAAATTACAGATCCTAATTTGAACAACCATTACTCCTCGTGGAATGTAGCCGCGGGCACGGAGTTTGGACTAAGGGGGATTTAAAAATGGCAGCGCCCAGAAACATGCAAATGAAGCCCAGGATATTTATATCCCGGGCTTCATTTGCAACTCCGGTTGCCCTCATTTGCCTACCTAACTCAAACTAACGAGCTAGCGTAGACATACCCTTATAGAGGTGTGACTAGTTCAATCCATGACATGAATGTTCCTGCTCAACAACACACCAGAGAACACTCAGCTACAAAGTTTTGCCAGAATACCTCTGGGCTAAGATTGTGATTTGATTTTGCATACTTAGGCTAGGTCTACACTGGGGAGAAATTCGACTTAAGATAGGCAACTCCAGCTACCAGAAGAGCAAGATTAGCGTAGCTGGAGTCGACGTACCTTAAATCAGCCCCACTATGAGAGATTCACAGGAAAAACTCTTCTGTCAACTTCCCTTACTCTTTGCAACCCCATGGAGTATCAGGGCTGACATGTGCACAAACAGCATTTGATTAGGCAGGTCCTTATTAGACCTGTCAAATCAAACCCTGGAAGATTGATCTACAGAACATTGATCTCCAGGTAACTATAGATAAGACCTGGTCTGTGTCTAAAAGTTAGTTTGACCTAGTCTGTGAAAAACATTACATCTTGGCAGTGTAGTTCTGTCAAGCTAACTCCAGAGTAGATGCAGCTGTAGAATTCCATTGTCAATTTAGCTACAGGCTCTTGGCTGGAAT